AAAACGGTTGAGGCGCACGTGTGCTGTTATTGTCTCTAACGTGTTCGCCGATTGGAGACTATTTGAAGAAAGTTTTGACGGGTAGCAGTTGAGCAGGATTATAGTATTTTTCGCATGGTATGGAAAAGATCGTTGTTTACCGATCCATGCGAAAGTATATGAGATATCCAAACTTTTTAATCTTTTTAATTCTGAATAACAAAATCGTGGAAATGATCGAGAATTCGCAAAGATTGATTCGAGAAGTTTCATAATAAAATATTATGATTATTTCAACGTTCAAAGTATCATTTTTCTAAAATTCTCACGGTTTTATTCTTCTAAAACAGCAATCTCGAGTTGGATCATATTTTCAACGATATGTTATCATTTTATTTTGTAAAGTGTTCTAACGTCAGAGTTCCATTTTCTTGGAACACTATTTTATTCTTTTCAAAATGCCTTGAAAAATATTTGAAAAATAAACGATTTCTGATTGAAAAAATTAATTTTGTTTTAAATCAAGAATAATCAATGTATTTAATTAATCATTTAAGATATTACAATTCTAAAAATAATTTGCAATATAAAAACTAGACTATGTATTTCTTAAATCACTTGTAACAACGAAAAATTTGAGACAACATAATATTAGAAAAAATATTACAAATCGATAATTCTATTAATAATCGAAATAATAATCGAACTTCTTCTTAATTACGTATAAATCACTGGATGCTAAACTAAATAAATTAAATAATATCGAATACGTTAAATAATAATGAATTAAACAAACTTATTAAACCGAATAAATAATGAGAAAACGACGATCCCTAAGCCATTTAGAAGAAATTTATCTTTGAAAAAAAAAAAAAAAATGAATTTAAAAATCCAATCGATCGCGAATTTCCGCATTTAATCTTGTCGATCAACTTTCATATTCGTATCGTTATACGAAGTATTGTAACAAAACGGGTGTAACAAAACGAGAAAAAGTATAATGTACAGTTTAATCACAGAGTAGCATGACGTGAATATGTAAATAAATTAAATAAATTAACCGAATGTTCGGCCTGGATTGGCAATTAAGGGTTAATTAAGCTGCCGAGTTCATAGATTTTATGATACGTCTCCATTGTGTTATTTAACGAGATGTATAATTTCGGGGAAAATATATGGGACAATTTATAATATAATCGTGATTTGAATTTATGGTGGAGGATGGAGATTTTTATTTCGTTACCGAAGAAAATGTCCCTC